CCTCCAGTTGTCTGCCTCTTGCTTTGTCAGATGCATCTATTGTTTAAATATGGGTGGTGGGAGGAGGAGGGTGTCTGGGATGACTGATAATCCATTGTATGTACAGCTAACATGATGCTCCTTTTAAAACCACACATCAGTTAAAACGGGTATACTGCCAGCATCCAGTCACAGTGATTCTAGTACGGAGCTGGGGAGAAACACAGCTACAGTGCGTTGTGTTATTCAGTTTACACTCCAGCCTCCCTTTGATATTAATGTGCATCAAGCTTGGAGTTTGGGGGGGTTGTAGATGAATACATTAGCATTAGCTTCCACCTCCCCTTTGATTGCACGCTCTTGCTTTGTGTCCTCTCGTTAGGCCAGCTAGTAGTAGGTAGCTTGCATGCCACGGTGCTCATTTTCATGATGACGATTATTAAAATGGCTGATTAGATTGCTAACAATGGCTAGCGGAGTGCGCACACACACACACACACACACACACCCTTTATTCTAGCCCTTTTTAACCCGGCCTCCTATTTAACATCGACAGCCGGATTGTTTTGGTTTCAGAGTTTCATTGAAAGTGATTTTAGGAGGGCAGGAGGGGGGGGGGGGNNGGGGGGGGGAGGAATGATGCTCCTGCCTGCAGCCCCTCACCTCACCCGGGCTGCCTCAGCACCAGTCAGCGCTATTAACCTACGTTCACCTTCTAGCGAGCGTTAGCTTTCACGGTAGCGACGCTGCCACAGCAACCATTGTCAGGGTAACACACAGAGAGAAGGCTATATATATGAGCAAGCTCGTCGGTTGTTAGGTGGCATCACATTTTTCCGCTTGTTTTGGTTGTTATTTAATGCTGCGGCAATGTCAGCGTTGGTAACTACGTAGTTGGCTAAGTTAGCGAGGCAGTGTTCAAACATCCTCTCCAGCTCAGTCGTGCCACTAAACACGCACAACGCCGATGTAAACAGTGCAAAGCGCACCGCAGCGCAGCGTTTCATTCATAAAGACGCAATGCTAATACTCGCTTTGTTAATAAGTCAACATTCATTATGCTTACCCGCTTACAAACGCTACTAGAGGCCAGCTGTACGTCGGTACGTCTCGAACAATGGGACGAAAAGCACCAGTCAGTGAGTCCGCGGTGTTTATCCCGTGTGTTGGGCTCCGGCTGTCGGACATTGGCTGCCGTCAACTCCTTGGAGTATCTTATTGGACACTGGCTGTCTCAGTCATGTTTGTTGTACAGTTGGTTGTTCAAAACACGACGGGGCGATGGCGCTAAACTTGAACAGCAAGCGCCTTTATTCTGGTAATAATCATATTTATAATGGTGATAATAATAATACACTTTATTTATGCAGCATGCATTTCCAAAACGAACATCCTTACACGGATTAAAAACATTCCAGGTTGCAATAAGGCAAAAATAATGTCAGATAAATAAAATCACACCAAAGTGAGGTAGAATAAAAATGATAAAAAGACCCCCATCAGTAATAAAAACTGTTCAAACAATAAAGCAGACAAAACGTATTGCAAAAACTAATCACACTGGGGCAGATTAAACAATTAAAGTATGAAATAGCATAAAATACCCATAGTAAGGGGAAAGATGTATTAGAGTGAAGTTGGGATGGGATTGGAAACTACCCGTATACTTAAAAAAAAGTAATACTACAATGTGAAATTACAACATTAAGTACACTTAAGTAAAGTGAATATGTATGTAAGCATCTGCAAACTGTCCTGAGTATCAAATATATACTACTAATTTTGATATTGTAGTATATCACTTTATTATCTGGTCACAGTGGATCGTATTTTATCTTTATTTATTTTAACAAATTAAAACCAGATTTAAAGGTTAAGATTATTCGATGACTGTCTGACTGAGTGAATTAGTTAATAACTAATTAATTAAAAGATCTGGAGGATTTCCTTCTATGGATTTTGTGTCTCACATTGAAATGTTTTAAGTTGAAGATCATAGCACAAAATGAATGAAGCTACTTTATAAGGAATCTTTGGCTATGTTGAATTTTTAATGCAACATCTCCCCTGCTGAGCAGCTCACAGTGGCCATTCAAATGTTGTAGGTCTCCATAACCACAGCACCTAGAAACATCCTGGCAGGGATCAGCTCTGTTCAAACAGAGCCAGTACCTGCAGCGAAACTTTCTCATTTATACACAGTCTCAAATTTAGGACCCTCCTCTGGAAATGGAAGTGGAAAGGTTTTCATTACACCGAAAACAACAATAACAAAAGGTACCAAAACCCTGGTCACCAATGGCAACCAAAGGTAATGTTGAACCAAGTATATTTAAATATTGAAAGAGAAAACGTTACATTTGATTTTTTTCTTTACATCTTTGTTAACAGTAATATGGGTTTATTTCATGTTTTATTATTAGGCTATATGACTTTGGTACATTATACTATATATTTTTTGCTGGAATAATTCCACATTATTATGTTGGACTGTTGCACAATTATGTTTTATTATTATTACTCACTACAGCAATATAAATATTATTGTAGTACTTCATTTAAATTCCTTATTCTTGTCTCTTTTTTGGTCCCTACCCTGAATTAGGTGTTCACAATTTTGCCGTGTTGGCATTAATTAAAAATATTATTCAAAGAGATAGTTTAGCTAGACTAGACTATAGCCTAGAATGACTGGTGTACACTACATATCAAGAATTAAGTGTTACAGTTTAATATATTTTCTTGTAGAGGGCAAACAGTGGTGGGATCCATATGAAACATCCCATGGGAGACAATTCGTCTACCGGCCAAACTCAGCTGCAGAGATTCTGCTGTAAGTTCTCTTTATGGGTTTATGGTTAAGTTCTGAGTAGTCATGCATAATTTGTGCATTTTCTTTTTCTATTGGGGTGTAATTGTATGTTTATATTGATGCATATGCAGGTGCCCAACGTCAACTTCATTTATAGACTCCTATTCAAAGTCTGGACCTTTCGGTTCAACTGTGTACAATCAGGATTTTAGCTGGAAGTCATCCTGTAAACCTGAATGCATCCGTACAGGAACTGCCTCAGGGCACAGGAGAAACAACCCACATCCCAGTCAGGTTGGTATTTAGGCTGTGTTAGCCTCAATTTTACATTTATAGTCGAATGCCATGCTTGACCTCTCACAGTGTATCGTAACCTTTAAGTCAAGCTGTTTTCCTCAAGTCTTTCATGATGTGGAGGCTGCCTAGGGACACCGCACGAAGCTCAGAGTATGTCGGCTTCCCTTGGAAATGTCCCCCATCTGAGGAGGAGATCAACAAAGCCTTGACAGCGCAGTACCGCTCCACCTACAGATGTGACTTCATAGGTATGCTTCAAGGTAGAACAAGTCTGTCGGGTTAAGTCTTGAATTCATGACAACTTCAAGCCTGCAGGCTTGTCCAAGTCAATGGACAATACAAATCAGTGTAATCATAATATTTTTCTCTACAGCTTATTTTGCTCACTATGTGGAACTTGTCTGACAGGATACTAATAATAATCATATTAATAATACAGAAAGAAAATTTGCACCTAAGCAAAGAAGGCGTGAAGTGTGGCCCTCTACTGACACAGAGATGAGGGACAATTACTGCCAGCCAAAGCAAACACCTGAGCTGCTGCGCTACCACCACAGCACAGATCCTCACGTGGCCGGTCGTGGTATAGGTACTGTATGCTGAAAAAACTCTAATGTAAACACAGTAAAGAGTGCTTGCAGTTTACCTAATGAGCTCCTCCATGTGTTGCAGTTCCAACTGTTGTGCAAAGGCACATCCACACTCAGCAGAAAAGATCACACTTGACTAACTACGACAGGTTTTGTGGAAAGAGAGCCACTAATGTTGCATGTGTGATAAAGTCTCTGCTGCCCCAGGAGCTGAAGCAGTTACACAGTATTTTACCGGAGGATGGTTAGCATCATTTTATGTCTTTGAATGTTTGAGCGTTTCAACAAGTCGAGTTTGACAGGCAGGTAATTCATGTTTTGTGTCTTTTGGCTTTGCAGAAGAGAAGGCTGTTTTGAGTAAAGATGATTATCCAAACAACAGTGAGAAAGTGAATAAACTTCCAGCAATCGTGCTTAATTCCTGCTTACCAGAATGCATATCAAGCTGGCCAGGACCTTTCTGAACCTTATTGCTCTGTGTTTGTATTTTGTGTTTTTATGTGTTTTTGTCATAGTAGGGGTAAAAGTGAATTAAACTGACTTTCACTCGCTATGCCATTTCTGTGTGGAACATGTGTGCTGTGATAATTAAACATCTCTGCCTGATGAAATTAAATTTGCCTGCATTCATGTTCCATCGCCCTCATATTTTGCTTTCTGACATTATACAGCCTGTTTGAGGCTTGATAAAAAGACTGAAAAACGTGCATTGATTTAATGATTTCTATCTGCAAAGAATGCCACTTTTTTCTTCATCATTCTTCTCTTTTGCATTATGAAATGCTTTTTCTCAAGTCTGTCCAAAAGGAATATTTAATCATGTTTTTGATTATTCATTCCCTTGGTAGTTGCAATGAAAATGTAAAAACGTGCTAACATTAATGAGATGAATTAAACTATGATTACCTCCTACCTCAACTGATTAAAGTACAATGTAAACAGGGTAATATATTGTTAGTTTTAACATGGTGACAAAGCTTTCTGTCTCCCTGTAAGTGCAGAGTCTTGTCTTCAGTGTTGTAGTCTCAGTTGTCACTCTTGGTTTCTTAGTTACCATTGGGCCACCTGCTCTGCTCAGGTGTAATGTTAGAGTGAGTGTCAGGTAGTCTAATGTGAGATCTGTCAGATTAACATCTATTTGGAGGTCAGACTGAGGAAATGTGCTGTTTTTTTACACCACAGTAACCTCTAAGATAGAACATCTAACGAGTATGCCTTTAGGGAAAAAGGTTCGCTCTTCTTCAGCTTCAGGAAGATTAGAAACCCAACATGTGACCAGGTAATCTGCTGTGTTGTTGCTCTCCGACTAACATTGTAAACCATGTTTTTGTTGTCATACCTGTTCAGCACCACTTTCATATTTTTTACAGTAACAGTTTTAATGTCTAGATAAGGGATATTATGAGTATGGTTGAGGCCTGTTTCGTGTTCACAAACTGTTTACTGTTGTCATGGTGCCTGAGTTGCCATCCGTGGCAGCACTGAGCAGTTACCAGGTACTACAGGTCTGCTCACCTGGAATTTATCGTCACATTCCTAATAATAAGTAGATTTATGTGTAGTTTTCACTTTAAAAAAAAAAAGTTTGTATCATTGGGCCACTCCACTGAATTGGTTCCACTTGCATGTTGTAAGTTCTGAAAATGAAACTGAATTTTCTAAAATCTTTTTTTCAACATTGTATCTAATAACATACATATTTATATTTATCAATTCAAAATGTGCAATTGTCAGGCCATTTTATTTATTTTTCTGAACATGACAGAAAGTGAAAGGATTTAGTTTGTAGCATATTTTTAGCAAATACATGAAATGTAGCCATATGGTATCAGTGTCAATAACATGAGACCACTGACCATCTTCAGTTGGATTACCAAAACTATCTTAAAAATCCTATAAACATAACATAATAAGATTGAGAAAATGATTCAGCTAAAAGGGCTGAATGTTGAGATTGACATTCTCAGTTATACAATATGATCAAAAATACAGAAAATAAAGATAGAAGCTACATTTGGGCTTCCCATGGCCTTCAGAAGACTTAATAAGATACATTTTTAGAGGGGGGAATGTGTCAGGGTAACTATTGGAAATATTGTCACACAATAATACAAATACAAAAAATATTTCTGAAGGTTTTTCATCATCATCATTATATTTCATGGTGAAGTGTAGTGTGAGCGAGTGGGGATGGGCTGAAATCCTATTTTTTCACTGTTAGTTTTCATTAGCCTAAGGTTTTACATGATGCATCTTAGAACAAAGTGCAAGGTTGTGCAAGATTTTTTCATGCATATTTATGCATATAATTTCCTAGGGACAGAAATGCACTGATTCTGTGTTATCAAGAGTCAAGTAGAGATACATTTAAAATACATCCATATTTAGCCATAATAACAATGTATTATAAGAACAGTGCCTGCATTTAATCAAATTAAAAGATTTCAAATTCTTCAGCATCCTCTCTGAACTGTGGAGCACAGAAGAGAGGATGAGAAACACTTCTGGGCCAGGTAGTAATAAAGTCACAGATGACTTCTCAGCATCAAGACGAGGGGGTGTCAGCGAGGACAGAAAAGAGCCGCCTGAATGGTTGATTCGAGAGCTGCTGAAACAGAACAGGCGAAGACACTCTGTCACACTGGGAGATCAGGCTCAAATCATGAGACAACAACACCACAGTATTGACTCAGCTCGCAGTCTCCAGGTACAGTTTTCAAAATGTCTATCTGAAAGTATATGAGACAATTAAATTTGACCTATTGGGACCTATCTGCATTTGAAAAGTTGTCCTAAATCTAGATTATTTCAGTGCCATGGTTGATTTTGTACCCTTTTCCAATGAGTCTTCTTTCTTAAAGTTGCTGCTTTTAGCCTCAAGGTGTCACTAGAGTGCTACTTTGCTACACTTGCCAATTTATAGACTCTTTCCAAAGTGATACTCAACTTCAGCTGAAGCATATCTCACCAGCACCAGAATGTGCCAGTGTGAGGTAATGCCAAAAATGGCATTTTAAATAAAGCTGATGATCAATTTACTCGCAGCCTGACAGCGCATCAGCCAGAACAATCTGTCCCACAGCCCAGGAAGGCCATGTTTCAGGCCAATGTAAAACAAACATAGCTGCTGAGCCAACTACTTTGAGGACCCTAGTAGATTCAGATTCAAGCTCTCAAGCTGACAGGAATGATTGAAACATGGCTGGTGCAAATGGACCGGGTTGAAGTTTGTGGGTTTGCAGACGCAAATGTCAGTCACCCTGTCTTGCTTAATGTAATGAGCAATGTGCCATAACCGATTAGACGGAACAGGCTCAGGAGTTCAAAGTTATGCAGCTCTAATAAAGGGATTTGAAAAGCAGTCGAGGTTATGTGAACACTTTCAGTACTTCCATCACTCTGACTGATTAAAGAATTATCTCTGCATTTCAGGAGGAACCGTGGGGAAACCTCAACCCTAGTTGCTTCCTTGAGGAATTAGGCTGTTTATCCCCCTTATTTATTAATGATAGATCAAAGTGTGCCACAGATCATGGACTCGTTGCTAGGAAACCGTGGCAACTTGAAGAGGGGCCATTAACACAGAGAGCATGGCCTGTCACCTGGCCTTGTGCATGATCTCAGTAATCATGTCATAGGCACTGTTGGCCATTACAGACAGTCAGTAATACTCAGAGGTGGAGCCCCAATCGTGTGTTGATAATTAAACAGTGTTCAGTGTTAAAGTATACAGCTCTCTAACCTTGGTTTGAATTTTTAGCACTCTTGGACTGAAAGCAGTTTTGTTTTTATTTTCCATTGCATGTTTTTTTCTGATAATATTGACGATGAACCTGCATGATAATAATTTGTTTCTGTCATGACATAATGTCACAATTTTTCCTCTCTTTGATAAGCTTGACGAGACGATATCACTCGAGAACCTCCAGAAACTGAAAGTAGCATTTGAGGTACTGTAAACCTATAAATCTTTCACAATGACAGTCTGGTTATTCATTTCTGGAAGATTTGACTGTTTTATTTCTAAAGGAATTTGAAACGGATGGCTTGAGATCCATTGATGCGAAGAAGTTTGGACGTATAGTGAAGACGTGTTTGGGCTTGCCAAAGACAGTAAGACAGTGTAACATTTGTCTTTATATCTCTCTCAGACTCTCTCATCTCTGTGTTCTCTCTGTCTCACTTCTTTGCAATTAGGGACAAGCCTATGCCAATTACTTGATTAATTTATAAGAAGTGTCATTGTGCTTTATTGTTTTGTTCTCTGAATTTCACAGTGCAATGCGCAGATTCAAGGGTTATTTAAGAAGATTGATTATTCAGGCCAAGGAAGGATTTCATGGGTGAGATGAAACTCTTTTTTTTTTTGTTTCTTATGGAGCATGCAGCCTTTATATTAAGTGTAGTTTTCCATGCATACTAACCAGGAATCTGCAGAACAAAAGTTAGGCCAGTATGAAATATGATGGGGTTGTTTCAGCCACTGAAATTCAATTAGGATCTGTGGAGCAAGTGTAACTGAACAAAATGATTTGGGCTAAATCAGCTTTTCTTGACTGTACACTAACACATTTGTCTTGTGCTGACTCAAAGGTGATGGTTTCCCAAGTAATAGGCTACATTGATATTGACTCTTGACGCTTGACTTAATTTTTAATATGTTTCTAGTGTTTTATATCTTCATCTGGATGGTTAGTCAATTTTTACAGGTTGTGTGGATTGTAAAGCTGAAAAATGCTGTCATGGTTTGTACATTTGTAGAGATGTGATTACAAGTATGATGTAACATTGGAGAAAGAACATTGTTTTTTAATTGCAAGAGTCAAAATATTGATTTTACTGGGCTTATATACAAGGGCATGATTTCCACTGGGGGATGAGGAGGACATGTTCCTCTCACTTTTCAAAATCCTTTTTCCAACACCCTTTACCAAAGAATAGAAGTTTTAGAAAAAACATTTTATTTGAGGAACAGTTGAATTGTTTAATGTCAGCTATTAAACAGCTGAAATGTTAAAAATATTGTATAAACAATCTGTAGGCAGACTATCCAAATAAAGTGTTACCCAATATTCTCCTGCAATAATTAAACATCAACCCTATATTAAATATTAGGTAAAGGACAATTCTCATTGGTGAAGATACACATACAATATTCATTTATCATCAAGTCTCCATTAACTCTATCAACAAAAACTAAATGTGATCTTAAAGAACCAGTGTGTAGGATTTAGTGGCATCTAGCAGTGTAGTTTCAGATTGCAACAGACTGAACACTGCTTGCATTTGTATTCGATGACCTGGGAATGAGAACTAGTCGTGAAGTGTAGGAGAAACTACAGTGGCTGCAAACATCTATAGATAAAAATGGCTCATTCTAAGGTAATGAAAACACAAGAATTCCTATATTCAGGTGATTATACACAGATGAAAACGTTAAGATAAACATATCCATTACTGCCAATAGATCCTCCTAAATGTTACACACTGAGCCTTTCAGTGAGGTCAGTCAATTAATAATACAACAATTACAGAGCATTTGAATTTCTTTTTTTTTGACTACCATTTAATTTGAAAAGCATGATATGAATTTCATCTCATTATTTCATAATTTCTATATACATAAAATGTAGGAAATAACATTTAAACCTATGCCCTTGCTCATATGACCATGATAACAATTTTATGACTATCAGTAATGTGATGCAGGATGACTTCTGCACACACATGCTGCAGGAGTACAAAGAGAAGCAGGAAACAGCAAGACGCAGTAAGCAGGTGGCTTTCACTCTGCCAGCCACCATGAAGGCGTTGTGTCACAGCATTCCCATCGTCAACATTCACTCCACCCACGATGGCTCCATCGTCACAGTGCGAGAAGATGGGGCCGTTTGCTACTGGAGCCCTGAACTTAAACCACTGAAGACCAAACACATGTTTGTATGTTTTATCTTTTGTACATTTACCTGAATACTTTAAGGATTAGTCTGGTATCATTCTGTTTTTCTAACGGTCAAGAAATCCCACAAAAAGACCAAAATCAACAACGCAATAGTACATTTTTCAATATTTTCCCTGTCTGTGGCACATAAATCTTTAAAAACAAGTCGCAAATACCTTAAAATGATCAGTAATTTCTTAAAACAGCTGGGGACTGTTGTTTTTAGCAAAAATGACTCAAACCAGAGTAAGTACTGCATATGTTGGGGATTATACGTAACAGCTGATATCTACACTTGGTGAGTATTTACAGCAGTAGGACAGGTATATGACAGTGACTCATAATAAATGACAGTGCTATTGATGTGTCTTCAATAGTTTTTGGATGAATCAGGTTTAGGCTACACAAGCCACACTTGTTAGTAAGATCAGTTCATTGTCGGTTTGCTTCTTTTCAAGGAATTTGTTGATGATTAGAAAAATGCAGAAGACTTAGCCTGTAATATTATCCATAGAAGGTGTTTGTGTTTAATTTTCTGCAGAATGAAGGACCTGCAAACAGGAAGTCAAAGTGGGCAAGTGATTTTACTCTGATGACTGAGTACAACAAGCTGATGATTGGAACGGGGTAATATAAGAAGAGGTTTAATAAAATGACTTAAAGACCAAATTATTTACTGAGTACATTGGTTACTTTTTTTAACTGCATGTCCCAGATTGCTCTAGCGTTGTTTATTGTGTGTGTCTTTCTTGCAGGGACAGAGAGCTCCAGCTTTATGAGCTTTCCACTCTGGAGCCTTATTGCCAGATCAATGCACTAGACACTGTGCCTTTGACTTTAGACTACGGGTAAGCAACAAAACTGCATGTTAACACATCCTCCAAATGTCACCATAAGTCTCAACATTTCATGGTTTATGTTTCTCCTAACAGCTACACCGGCACTGATAAATGTTGTATTCTGTATGGAGACACTGAGGTAGGAGCTTTTGTTAAAATCGGATCCAATTATAAAACAAAAATGTTCATTATGTCCCACTTGATTATTACTGGGACATCTTAAATTTTGTTTTTGTGTTTCAGGGATGTGTGACTATCATTTTAATATCCTCTGTTGGAGATACCCTCAGGTAATTGTGCTTTTCAAAAGATTTACTACACATTCATTTCTATTGTTCAGTTAACCATTGTGCACACTGTATACTATACTCTATCATAACATTATACCAGTATTATTATAGTTTACACTAAGTTTAAAGTGTAATCGTATCAGAAAATGTTGAGCATCTTTTCCAGCAATATTATGCCAGCTTCTCAGTCATTGATTAGACTGCGACCAAAGCTCACTCAGCTGAGCCTTAGGGAGGCATCAGCCATTAACAGCCAGGGACCCTTAAAGGAATGAAAACAGAAGTTAACAAAATATTATGTCTTATATGTATTTGAAGGTCTAGTGTGTAACACTGAAAAGGCTCTATCAGCAGAAGTAGAATATAATATTCACAGGTATGTTTTCATTAGGGTTAGTATGTATAATGACCTTAATATAGGAATCATTGAGAATGAGCCGTTTATATCTACAGACGCTGCAGGTTGCCTTGTCCATGGAGTCCACCATGTTGATACCTGCCATGTTTCAGCAGCCCCAGAAAAGAGACGGATACCAACGAATTACTGGCTTATAATTTAGGGGCACTTTTTCTGTTTGCGAATGGGGAGAATTAAGTGATGGAGTTGAGATCTTTTTTTTTTTTCTTTTACTATGTTTTAGAATTATAACACTGATACAGCTAAAATTCAATACCCTAGATGAGCAAATGTTACACAGTACGAATCACATTCCATACCATGGTATCAGTATACTGCTGCAATGCTCTCTCCCAAGATCATTGTTCTTGGCTAATCTTACACACAAGAATATGTCCTATGAGTGATTGTCTGGGCATTATTCCTGAGCAAAATCAACATTAGAATTCTTTGAATTCGTACGAAGATTGATTTGAAAGGAACTTTAACTGAATAAAGATTGGAGATTTATGATGTCATTCTCTTTTCACGGTTTTTCAAGGTTATTTTCGAATGTTCATTCTTTATCATTTGCAGTGAATTCAGACATATCAAAGGTAGATTATTTAGAGCTGTATGAAAAAATGTCTTTATCTTCAGTCACAGTTTAACAATTGCAAATGCATCCTTGATTCTTTCGTTGTAAAAAACCGTTCAGAAAATTTGTGGCCAGTGATTTTGCCCATGTCTTTTCGTAGTCTACCCATAGCAGTTTGTTTTGACGTGAAATAGTGAGTAGCCAAAGTTTCCGTGCCTGAGTGTATCAACTCACCTCTGGGAAATACTGAAACAATGCATGTAATCTGTCTTTAGTTATGAGGCGAACATATGTCATCTGCTAAGTCTCTATACTGAGATCCATATGATTTAAAATTTCTCGCTTTTGCAGTTGCCCGGACAGTTTTAGTTTAATATGGCATTACAGTTGTATTCAGGATGAAAATTGGATGTATGCAAGTCTGAGCTTTTTTTTCACTCTTATTATAAGTTGCTTGGATTCATCATCAGTCATAGAGTTGAAGTCTGGGTGGTCTGGTCCATCACTCTAACATTTATTTCCGATTATCGTTACACTATTGATGAGTTGCCAATTCACCCACTATTGTCGCAAGCTCTAGATGAGTGAAAGTTATTCCTGTCTTCTGCTTGTATTTAAGAGTAGTGTGGATAATGTTTTTTAAGACTAAACTTGGTCATACTTAGTTAGCGGTCCATTTCAAATACCAAATGTGTTGGATGACAAGAGATTATTGTATATATTCCCTGAGTCTATCGCTGCTATCTTACACAAATAAGTCTGGACTCGGGTGATCCGGTTTTCGCTAGCTCTAATATAACTGAACATTGATTATCTAACCTGGGTTTGAATATTTCTGTATGTATGTGAGCTGTGCCTGAAGAAAATTGTGACCAGTCATTCCTGATTTACATCTCAGCTTTTTTTTATAACTATGGAATAAATTTACCGGAATGATTGAAATAATAGCGACACGGCACGAATAATGCCATGCAGCAACGAAGTTACTTAACTTTGCAGATTTTGTCATGAACAATGTCGAAGTGTCTTTCATAACAAAAATCACTGAATATGTCTGACTATTCACGATGTTACGGAGAGCGAGTGGAAGGTATCGATAACACTAAGGTAGATTTATGCGTACAACTTGCGAGGTTGACCACATATCGCGATAGGACATCTACTTTAAGAAAGTCTACTATCTCTGATTTCCTGTATGGGCCAAGGGATCCAGAAATGGGAGATGTGTCCTAGGTGCATCTGTTAGCAACGTTCTAACACCGATGATCTACACCGGTCAACCAAAAATCTGTGCATTTTCATAATCATATTATCCCTCAGCGTCAACATTATATATGTCGATGGTTTCATACACATACGAGTCGTTTTTACTATACTACGACTATCCTTACTTTATATATCAGAATCAATGAACTTTTCACACATTTACAGCTTTAAGATTCTAGACCTCACACAGTGACAAGCTCATCAAACCATAAATCTAGTCCAAGATGCAAGCACTTCATCGCTAATATTAAGACATAAACAACTGTTCAATTAGTTTTCCAACAGTTGATTGCCCAGCTCAAACATTTAATAACATCAGTTTCATCGATAATTTTGAAGTAAACAAATGGGTATAGATTTAACATTATTTTAAGCACAGTGAGTATGACTGATTATGCGCAAATACTATACAACTCTACTTATATTTAGATATATTTTAGCGCGATGGAAAAAATCATATTAACAAAGTTTATCTATATATTTCCAACGCAGCTCGTCTTATGTGCGAACCAAGGCGAAACCAGCTTATGAAAAGCACAGAGTACCACTTTTGGAGTTCAAGTCTCTTCGTCCCGTTGAAGACACCCTGTTTAGTGTATGAGTTTATGCTGCGGGTAATTTCTCCCACCAGCTGTCGTTCACTTTAAGGATAATTTCTCATCTCTTTTATCCTTC